AAAACTGGTTTTCCAGAATACCGGTCTTTGAAGGCCTAGCGGCAGCATTCATGGTGGTATTCGGAATCAGCATCGTCGACTACCTATAGTCCAGTCGGTTTCGTTGAAAAAGTGATTTATCAGTTGGGGATCATTCCTCGTTAGAGCTTCTAACTTACGTTATGTCGTTGTTCGTCATACTTACTTAAATTTTTTCGTTGCAAATAGGCTTTTAGTGCATTGGGATGTCTTGAAGCTGGTAGATCTACGCAAACACAGATGCATTCTGAAGTCTTTTGTTTTGAGTTTTGTCATTGAACAAAGCTTAGATGAGAACAAAAAGTATCTACCATCATTTGTCGTTGACTGCTGAGTACGTTCAAGTGATCGAGTTTTTTCTAGGTATTTTTGTTTTTGTGGCCGTGGTATATTATCAAAACTCGAAGTTCGTACACCTAATCCATTGTTTTTCTGTGTAATATGGACGAATTCACTTGCTGTGGATCCTGAATCTGTATCTTGATGTAATTCTTCTTTTTGTCGTCTGGTTGAGTTTGTATTATGAACCGTAGTTTGGATTTTATGAGCTGATTGTGTGGGAAATTTATTGTCTGATTTTTGACGAATAACAGCTTTATTATATCCTGTTTTGTCAGGTTTTTGCTCTCTGTCTTGCGCACGGTTCGTAGGATCATTATCATGACGAATCAAGTCTGTTAAACGTCGTTCCGGATTTTGTCTGGAACTTTTATCATTGTTTCGCTGTTGGATTTCCGAAATTAATGCTAAATTTAGAAATTCCTCTAAACATTCTGAAGAGATTTTGATCTGTTATTATACCTTTAACTGTCTTTGATTGATCATCACCATCGTTAGATAGTATTTCAGACGGCCTATTTTTAGCTGCCAAATCTCGTTCGCTGTGGGTAGCGACAAGCTTAAACAAAATAGCATTTTTGAATACGGTATGTTTTGTTAAAAAAGCAAGTTCTGACTGTAGCATATACTTTTTTCGTATTGTTTCCCGCTGGTTTTTGATCGTAAACAGATGACTTATACGTTTCTATTGGTTGTATTCCGACTCGACGGTTAATTGTTTCATAATCGTTATCAACAGGTATGACATCTAGCAAAATCATAAAAAAACACTTGTGAAAGTTAAGTTAGCCGAAGAGTAGATATAATAATTATAGTAAGCAGAGTTATTCAAAAGAAGTGTAGAATTACTCAAAATATATACATGTGAGTTTTGATCCAAAAGTAAAACAGTTTCTGGTGCTGAGTCTAACTAAAGTTGGATCGAATACCGTTTGTACAAACCTTGCTGTTGATTTTTCAAATTTTTATTACTGTCTGTTGTTTCTCTCGGTGAATTTTTTTGTGATTCTACGGGTGTTGTCGAATCACTATTATTACTTGATTTATTATATTCTTCTTGTTCTCTATTACCAGCTCTTTCTTGTACTCGTTTATTTAATTCATTTTGAAAACCATTACGTTGATTTGAAATGGTTGATATTTTTGTTTTTAAATGTTCAATAATTTCATCGTGTTTACGAACTATATGTGTTTGTTGATTCATCATTCCTTCTAGATTTTGTAATTTTTCTTCTACTTTTGCATTTAGACGTTGCGATTCTATTTCCAGTTGTCTGCCCAACATCGATACCAAATCCGCTAGGTTTTTTTCCACACTTCCATAATTTCTGTTACCATTTAGACTCATCACTGTATTCAGAAAGCTCTCACTACCAATAATATTTTGTTGACGAAAATGACTATTAAAACTGTCCTGTTTTGAATTAGGCATCAATTCGACTGTACTTCGATTTGGAAAATGTCCATTTATTTCGATTTGTTGATTATATTTCGACATTTGGTTGATGTTTGATGGATATGGAAGTTCGGGTAGACCAACTAATCTAATCGTAGATGGATCGTATCCATATGTAGAGTATCGATGTGAAGTGTCGTTTATGGATGATGATGCACTGTGTGAAGCAGCAGTTATTGCTGATAGAGATGATGACTCTTAAAGACAGAAGAAGAAATTGTTTTAAATAGGCATACGGTAAAAATATGATACACAAACAGCAGCCAGATAGAATGAGAAGTGATTTTTACTGTTTAGTTTTTCCTTTTTTTTCGTTTCCTTTGTATGTGTGTATACCTCTTAAATTACCAATATTTTTATCTTCATCGATATTTCCAGCATAACCCTGTGTATATTGATATTGGGTTCTAAACATGGCGTTTTCACCATTTTCTTTCTTTGAATTGTATACGCCTCTTCTCAGGTAGTTTTCATCATCAATCTCGTCGCTCTCTTTCTCTTGATCATACCATGGTTTATGATGTAGAACAATTGAACCGCCAACATTGACACCATTGTTATAACCTGAACAATGAAATAAAAAAATTGATAACAAATGTTGATAAAATAGTCTGAAAGGAAAGAAAGAAAAAAAATTTATTTTGTATTTTATAGACAGGAACATTTAAACCACAAATAAAGAACAGTTTAATTAATTGTTCTAGGGTCCCATGTTAAACACTTTTATGAGGATTTATGATACACATACTTTTCATTGGTGCTAGTAACACATTTCGAATATAGTCCTGCACTACAAATGTCTCTATAAACTGCAAGACTTTGAATGTAGAAATGTTACGAACCCGAAAACCCGGGTTCGTAATATACGAGGCGAAGCTCGATCTAGCTCGAGCTCGACTAACTTGGACTCGATCTTGCTCGGCCCGGCGAGCCAACAGTCGAGCTCACTGATCAGAGATTCAGAGATGGCCCGGGAGAGGAGTCCGGCTTGTCATCCTCCCTCCGTCTTATGTAGAAAAGCAGTTTAACTTTAGAAAGAATCGTTAAAAATGTCGTATTAATCAAAGAGAAACCAGAAAAATGGTAACGCTGTGACAACGTTACCATTTTTCTGTTTTTTCTTTGATTAATACAGGTTAATTAGAATAGTTTTGAATTTGATAAGCTATCACATCTTGTAGAGCGAAGAATTTTCTACAAACTGATATACTTGTTCAATGTTTACCAGCTCGTCTTCACTCTTTTAGACACGCTTTTCAGATAGCCCAAAAATCGATTGGGGGGGCCGTTTGTACAACAGCTGTATTTGCATAACGAATCAACGTTCAGAGCCGAGATACTTTTCATTTTGTATAGAAATCTTCAATCCACTTAATCATCTAGTTGCCATTTTAGTTTAGTTTGTAGCTTTATTGCAATAACTTTTCGAAAAAGAGCAAAAAATAGAAGCTGTTAGCTGAACAAACCGTATAATAAGTTTTGCTCAGTAATATGAACACGTGTGTTTAACAGAGTCGGTAACTCAGTGCTAGCAACAAACAGAATCATAATTAACATTCATCAACGGTCGTGATCTAAGTTCCTTTTCTATAATATGACTATACATCGAAACAAACAGACTAATTTGAACCAATGGCTTGCTTGTTTCCTGATTCGCTCAAATTGATACATTAAATGATCTTCCACGCGAATTAATCTCAAATAAATCATTGAATTTTACTTAAAACATTTCGTTACCGTATTCTAATGTGATCATTATTATCAGAACGCGGCGTGCGGATAGAATCTGTTCTGGCCAGGATAGGTCTCTGACTCAAGAATGGTCTTAACATGGAGACTCACATTCCACAGAATTATATTCCTGAAGCGATTTATTATATTAAAACAATTAAAAAACTTTTGTTATATGTGCCACATGCTTATTCTTATATAATTTTGTTGCTTTTGTGAAGAAAAGTTATTAATTACTTCAAATCAAAAGTAAAAGTGAGTCAAAAGACTCACTTTCATATATACAAAGAGTGTCGAATAACTAAAAGTGTTCAAGAACATTAAAGACCGAATCCGATCCCGAACGAGCTTTCAGTTAGTCTGAGCTCGCTCGATTCGGGCTTACACCAAGTTCAAGTTCGCCGAGTCGAACTTCGACGGATCTGGGCTCGTCGACGCAGAGTCTTGAGTAAGCCCGAGAACACAGAGCCCGAACTCAGAGTCTAAGTTCAGGCTCGTAACATCCCTATTTGAATGTAAGACGAGATTGTGGACCAGTGGACCATAAACTGGATATAAATTCCGATATAATAACGAATATTTCAATAGAAATGTTATATATATTAGTGTGTAGTTGTAATATCTACGACTGTGCTATTTAGTGATTGTTTATTATGACTGTGAGAGAGAGATGTTTATTTCTCTCTGAACGAACTTCATCTTTTTATAATTAGAAAAAAATGACAATTTACATACATCAGGTTACAAACTCTTACCGCTTCCGTTATAAATTTCTGATTGATTTGGCGTTGTTTGATATTGTTCTGGCTTATTATAGTTGATTGGATAATCTCTCAATTGTAAAAAGTTTTCAAATATACTTGATTGTGCGCCTTTCTTTGTCAGATCGTCAACTGATGAATTTTTGTTTATACGTGAAGACGAATCTTTATTGCTATATTCTTGTTGTTGAGGATAAGGATTATATTTTGTATTCCTATTTCGCTGTTTCCGACTAGAGTATTGTTCAGCTGAATTCAATTGTTTTTCTTCAAAATATTTCACTGCATTGGTCACTACATTTTCTGTTGATGATATTTTGTTGTTTGGTGCATCGACAAATTCTTTATAATCTGTATTTGATTCTGGTGATTTAATTTTAATACCCGTTCCTAACGATGGTCGCTGTGATGAATGACGTTGATAATTGTGCTGTTGTTTGGTTGGAGTGATGGTAGTAGTGTTATGACTAGATTGATTATTAACTGGGATCAGATCCCGTTTGTTCCTTCTTGTTTCGCAGTTTTTGCAAATAAAGTTGTCATTATCATCGTAAAGGGTTAGATCGGGTTTAACACATCGCCAATGGTACGAAGAGTGGCACAAATTACATACACGAACTTGTTCAAATGAATACAGCGAACGAGAACAAATAGCACATGATTGATCAGTTAAATTGTTTGACGATGCATAATAGTCTCGTGATGTTTTTGACATGTTAAATGTGGCAATGTGAGATGAATACGCTAAAGAGAATAGCAACACTGAACGTGAATCAGATACTCTTTATCTGTAAAAACTACAGAAAGATATTAGAAAAAGTTATTATTTTAATTATTTAAGATCATAGAACTAGATCAATAAATATTACCAGATTATACTCAAAGTTCTTTAGTTCTGCTTCTATCGACTCCTTGGTAACATTTTAACAGAAAGTTGATTTGAAAGTAAGCATTTTTTGGAGGAACTAAGCTAATAATCTTGATAGTTTTGTCTCTGTAAATGATATTATTTCAATTGGCGTGAGACTTTCGAATACTATATTCACTCTTAAATCTTACTTTATTTAAAAAACAAAATTTAATCATGATAGCTAAATGACTACAAAAAAAAGCTTCTTACTTCTCTCTCTCTTTCTCCTCGCAACACTTTTTTTTCAACAACGTAAAAATAATATTTTTCAAAAGTGCATACAGAGATATCTCATTCATTCGAGTCTATTTTATCTTGCCATACTCTTAAAGAAAGGCAAAAAGAATGAAAGTCATTCATGAACTCATCTTTGATGTTTTTAATTTCACCTATAATATCGAAAACAAACCACTACATTTCTAATTAACAGTAAACAAATAGTATCATAGTTTCTAATAATCTTTAAAATTACTGAATATAGGTTTACAACGGATACGGATAATGTATCGTGACATTTATTTTCATTTTAAGAACAGGAAAAAAATCTATATTTTTAAATTAGATCAGAAAGAAATCCAAAAAGATATCTAGCACTCCCATTTATATTTGTATGTTTATGCATAAAAAAGTGTATTTTTTTACGATATATTGATAATTATGTCCTGTTGTTCATAATACAAGATATAATAAAAACAAGAAGCTAACGATCCGTACGCATAGCACATCAACGCCCAGAGAAATGGTCAACGAAACGAAGACTCTGTCTCAATCTAATTTTTGAACTTTTTTTAAATAGAAGTCCCATTAGTAATAGTTCCATTGAAAAAATCTCAATTTGAGATTTTGAAACGTTTCAAACGTCAGCATCACAGGTGATCGAATATAGACATTTTGTACTGTTAATGAACGTAGGAACCTTCATTTTTCCTCGTAAAAAATGATGGCAAATTCTTCATTTTTCATTCTACTATATGCCAGAGATCAGCAAGGATCGGGTCGTGCCAGAAAATTTTATAGAGTGGGCTGGGCCAAACTTAGAATTTTTAAGCATGCGTGGATTTGTAATTATGTGTACACTCAGAGCTGAGAAATCATAAAAATATAAATATTAGCTTGAGAAATACATTTACACTGCATAGCCAGCAAAAGCATTACAGATGGAAGTAGAAAATCACGCAAAATGGTCGAATCGGGCCCAGCGGAGCCAAATAAATTCTACGTTTAGTCGGACCGAGCCGGGCTTGGTCTGGAAACTTTCATCATCCATCGGATCGGGTCGGGCCAAAAATTGTCGGCCTGTGCGGATCTCTGCTATATGCTGCTATAGTCTGACAAGCTATTTTCGTGGAGTTTTCGATAAAATACAAAAAAAATTTTGTGAGTTTTATAGATGTTTTTCAAAAAAATCCATTTTTAGTCTTTTTTTGTAATCAGTGTAGTGACGTTAAAAAGGACGACAAAATTGAGTACAAATAGTTATCTGTTTAAATTTTTTTCTATTCTCCATCCAATGATAAAAATATAATTTATTTATAGTCTCAAATAAAAGTAAATAATTCCAGGTACATACAGGTGGATGATTTTATCAATTTTTACCGCCGTTTTTCTTACAGAAATCAGATTTCCAAAAACTCTTGTAATTTTTTCCTGGCATCAAATCTGCCGAAACTGTTTAAACAAATAAGGACGACTTTTTCCCAGTGAGTCTGGAAAAATTGGGATTTTATGTGATATTTAGTCAATTTTCAAATTTATAGAGAAAGGATCAAAATACAAGGCAAATCTAGACACGAAAGAGGGGAAAAACCTAGAGAACTGGACTGGATGAGATGTACAGCAGAAAACTTTCCGCTTTATTTAGTTCAGCTTTGAACTTCTCTCCATCAATGTACGGCACAACAAAAAAAAAGTCACTTGAGTATAGCAGTTTGAGTATGGAGTATATTCAGAGTATAGCAACGAGAATATCTAGTGCAAATTGTTATTGTTCTTTTCTTCTCATACTCGTGCTTAGTCTTTATACTCGCGGGTGTCTAAACACAAAAATACATGTCTGCTGTAGAAGAAAAGAAAGAATTTTCGTTTAATAAGAGAAAGAGGAAATTTTTCATTTTCAATCTTCTTATTCTAATGTATAATAAGCATAAACTTCGCGTATTGTTTTCTATCTATAGAATGATGAATAAAAATGCTCTAAACGAGCTTATCTAACAGAGAAGTGCGAGTACTGGAATCATTACCTTAGAAGGAGCGTCGTTCACGCTTTGAATCAATGAAGGTTAATAAGTTGCTGTGTCTAAAACATAATTTTCATGTATCGAAAATAATTGTACAAGTACAAGTAATGGAAGACAGTGAGAAGGAAGAAATAGATGTGGATACATAGAAAAATAACATTTGAAACCAAGATCAATTTTTCTTTAACAGGAAATGGCCATCGAGACGAGAATTTCATGAACAAAAAAATGATGGGTATGGACAAAAAAAGTGTTCGTCCCGATCTCTAGACTTTTTACTGTATATATTATACTTAATACGAATCCTGTGGATAGACTACAATCTGATCAGACTACGAAAGAGACGAAGATAGTTCTTGCCATGTTTCTCACCTTTTGTATTGATGCTCAAAAATATTACAAACGAAATAATTTATTTTTTAAGGATAGTCTTTAAATCTCTTTTCTGTTTGTAATTTCCTCTTTCTTTTTTGCTTGATTATATAATTCTGTTAACTTTTCAAGTGTTAGTATTTTTATTATTTTGTCGTACAAAGGTGTTTGAATCAAAACGAAAAGATATAAAAAGCTCATAAACTGATTAAGTTTTACAATATATATTTATAGTACTAAGAAAAGATGGCAGAGAAAAAGTAAGTCTAGAAATTTTTTTTTTGTAATTTTATTATTTCTCGTCTAGTTTTAGCGAGAAAAATTTTGTGCTATCGAGGATGTTCATCAGAAATGTTCATTATCTACATACCAATATAAATCCAAAGATCCGCCCATCGTAGTTTTCGAGTGATATTCAACAGGAAAGAGAATGGTTTTGATTGGCTCATTTTCGCATTACGGGGGAAAAGGAGTTAGCTCATATACATGCTGGTAAGGGAAAAAGAATCTATCAATTGAAGCATATGGAAATCTTTTCAGATGAATTATAGTTCATTAAATATGGAAGATGTGTAAAAGCCCAAATTGCCCATTTCAGACCACTTTGCAGTCAGTATCTTGTAGCCAAAGAAAAAGTATCAAAGACCAGATTAAACAATCTTGACAAGATCCTATAGGATTCTATGAAACATAGAAAATAGTAGAAATTCTGTGCTAGGATCCTATAAAATCCTATGTAATTCAATCACAGGAGCTCACATGATTCCTATTGTAGCGTAGTTTGGTATGTCTTATCAGATTCTATCATTAAAATCAACTTACACTAGGGAACCTATCGAATACTTGGGTTCGTATATAGAATTACCTAGAATTTTGTCAGAATCATATTGAGAGATTTGGTTTCTGATTTGTATTTTACTAGTAATAACTGATTAAGATGTTTTTCAACGATACATTCTCTGTTGCTATAAATCAAGAAATTCATTTCTTTCATCCCGGGCTATTGGATGATGAGTTATTGAGTAACTGGACAGGAGGAAGTTCTTTTGTAATTGCTTCTCGTACTTTATTAAGACGGATATGAAAAGAGTTTTGATACGTATTAGTATTAATTTGAATAGACACTGATTTGAAAAGCGGAATTTATGCAGACGGGTGACGTATGGTGCCCTTCATCTCTCTCGTTATAATTTTTTTTTCAAAGTTTATTCTCTTCCTATAGGCATGATGGACTTGGAAAAGTATACTCAGTCTACAGACAGTAGACAATGAGGGCCAATGTTGAGGCTGTCCATCTCGGACTAGGTTCTATTATCGAAAAATAAAAAAGTATTCGAGTTGCTCTTCCAGCGGATGTACACAGTGCTTTTAGTACTAGCCTCATCTGTTAGATGATGAGGCTAGTACTAACGAAAGAACAAGACAAAACAGTTGGTTACAAATCACCAGACACTACGCTGTTCGTATCCTGTTCGTTCGATTACTAGTAAGGGGGGAAGGAGAGAAACAGCTGTTTTGTCCCAAAAACCTCTTTAAACTTCGTTTTTCCTTCTAACGAAGGAAGGGTCTGAAAGCACTTAAAACATATTGCGCTTGTAAAAATGCGGATGAATACGGAGCGCAATGATCTTAGGTTTCATGGCGTTCTGTTACCGCTCTTACTCGGCTTTTCCCTCTCCGGAAGTAAGAAATTACTCCTGAAACTCTATATTTACATAGGAGAGATCATTATGGGAGAAATTCATATTTTAATAAATAATCTCCGTTTAGAATATTTTCTTTTTATTAAATATTAAAATACTAAATATATTTTCTCTTTATTTATTTATTCTTGGCGATTGAGGGAATCGAAGTTGGATTCTTATATGTTTTCTTCAGTGATACCATTTTCGGTTTTTTTTAGAAATGAAGATACTAATTTTTGACATTGTAAAATACCTGTTTTATTAGAGAATAGGTGACAAAAAGTGTCCAAAAAAAATGCTTCAAAGAATTCTGATCTTTCATATTCACTGATGGATTAAAACTGTTTTTGAAAGTTAAAAGTTAAGAAAAGTTCTAAAAAAGTTGATACAGTTAAAATCCTAGCTATAACTATGAACCACAGTTATAACTATCAATTGGGGTTGATCGATATAATTGCGGTTGAACGAGTTAAAACTCCAAATGGGTAGAGTGGTAATCATTCCAACTCCAGTTATAACTGCATTAGTTTTAGTAATGACTACCAACCCAAAATAAAATTATGAAACCTCATTTCAGTTTGTATTATTGCAAAGTTATAACTTTCTCAACTGTAGTTATATCAATAAACGCTATCAAACGGAGTTATTACTATCAACCGTGGTTGATAGTTATAACTATTGTAAATTTTTGACTGAAAGTTAACTTAGTTATAACTAATTTCAATCACAACCAGTTATAACTCAGGTAGTTTTAAATCCATCGGTGTTCATAATACTCACGACGGAGAACGATCGGTACTTTAAAATAGGCTCTGAGTGTGTATCGATATAACAATCATCTTATATGATCAAGAGTTATTGTCCTATGGTCCAGGTGTCACGTTTGTGAAAAGAACACAATTAATGTGAAATTTAATAAATATTTTGTTTGTGTTTAAACAAAGTGTCGAAAAGGGGCTGAAGGATGTTTCTCCAAAAAACGCGCAAGTATGAGCTGGGAAGGACATCAACGTATTGGTTAATGTAAGGAAGCGCTAGAGAAGTAAAAGCATTTCAATTGCACTCAAGAAAAAGTGGATGGCTGGAGCTGTGACTAGGGTCACAGAGATGCAGTCACTTTTGTAAAGAAAATTATTAAGAGGTACAGAATGTTATGAATATGGACTCGAAAATTTCACTCACTTTGATTTAGAAAACAATTATCGTTAAAGTTGTGAGAAGCTCTAAGCGAACTTATCACAATTTTAACATTGTAGGCTGTAGTTCACATATTCGTTTTTTTAAATGAAAATCAGCAGTTAATAATGCAAATTATATATTGAACATTTTTCTCTTCGATACAGAAAAAAAGAAGGGGAACGAATAACGAATCTGAATATCAGCATTGAAATATGATCCGGTACCCTTTTCTTTTGTCAAGCAAAATCACACACTCTCAGTTTCTGGTCTAATTTGAAATAAAAAAGCAACAGTAACAGTAGTAGTAGTTGTACTCCTCATCTATTTATTTATTCAAGGAAAGAAGAATAAAAGAAAACGAAAAAAAAATGTTGAAACATTTAGAACTAAGGTGTATGTTATATGCAACGTTTCATATACATAAAGCTTTAGCTGTAGTTGTTGTTTTAGTGCTTGTAATAGTTACGGTAACTTTTTCTTTTCTTTTTAATCGTGTATATCGTAAAATGCTACTAAGAGAGGAAAAAAAGTATATGCTTTTTTTGTTCATTCACAGGTAACACGCACACACACTTAAAATGAATATATATATGTGCCCATCTTCATTTTCCTTTCATATACGTTATGTGAGAGTCGAATATAATTGAATTCCTCGATGACCATGGAAAGAATTCTAAATAAATTCTACTCTACGAGAAACAGTCTTGGACAACAAATTTCATGCCAGTCATACGTCTTGAATAACTGTAAATGCAGACAAAGTTGATCTACCAATTAAAATATGAAACATTTTGTTTTTCATTGCACATTTTTGAGATCATCAGCATATTTTAAGCGAGTGCATACTAAGGTGAGAAACGAATGCAGTTAATACATGTTGAAGGTATGTACTCAAAAACGTTATCTTAAACGTTAGAGTGCCTATGCAAGGTAAAAAACTTTGCTTTATTTGGAAGAACTTCACAAAACCCAATTAGATCTTACAAAACTAAAAGCATCTATTCCTATATGTTCTTGACTTTTGAAATGAGTTGAAAAAAACCAGACGGGTATGAAATAAACCTTAGTAGTTTTTAAAAATTCCATTTTTGATTTTTGGAAAGTTTTTCTTGTGAATTCTCGACCTGAATTAAGAACCAGTTTCGAAAAAATTGATCGCATGAATATGTAGCCGTTGGCACACTACTATTTGTGCTGCATCTACATGAAAAGCGAATTGAAACTTATGAAACTGTTATTTGTAAGTTATTTTTATTCCTGTTATTCCTGGTGCCTTTTAAAAATAAGTAAATAAATAAAAAAAGTTGTTGTTTTATGCCGAAATTTATTTCGCTATCGTTGTATCACTCGCCTGAACAGTAACCGTATCTTCATGAAAAGTAGACGAAAATAATGGATGTGTTTGTTTAAAATAATCAATGGAAACATATTGTGAAACATCCGTCGGCATTTGCCACGCCAGAAATTACCACAAAACGTTCAGTAAATTTTTCACCAATTTCTATCATCAACAGCTAAATTACAACAGGACGATGACAATATCCTTGGGAAGTTCTGCAGGACGAATTCTTTTTGCTTACACAAATTTATAAAAGTATTTTATTGTACTCATCCTGTCTGTTCTATTGGAAAAATGAGCAGTCTTTTCGTGCCTCGGTTGACCTACATTCCTTCCGCAACTGTTGTTCTTTATGAAGTACTCGACCCTAATAATTCTAAAATGGAAATTTTATAGAAAAGTACCTTAATAAAAAAAGGTATTGGATTCAGATGATTCGTATAGACTTTTACTTCATGACTATACTGATCAAGATTTTATCGTGTACACACTCAATGTCATGATGAAACTCATTCATCTACTATTTTTGGGAATCTGTAAATCAATGTTAGTTCCTGTATTGTCGATACAAATCAATTATGATACAGTTCATCAGTACATGGTGCGGCATACACTCAGATATTGTCAGAGCTAACAGATCATCACATTATTCCTGTGTGTGTCTATGTCTATGAGAATGAGGTTGTTGCTGCTTTGTTTCTAAATCTGCCAATTGACTGTGTTCATGTTTGTGATGTGAATATTCTTTTAATTTTTCCTCTTCCGTCGAAGACTGACTGTTACTCTCGGACTGAGATATATTTTGAGCTGGAACATCTATATGTTGTTTATGGTGATGATGGTGATGTTTAGCGTGTTGGTGATGATGAGATTGTTGATGATGGTTATGCTTAGTGTGATGGTGATGATGATGATGATGCGATTCTTCTATTTGGTGATGATACCCCTGTTTTTCATGGGTATTGTGCTGGTCATTCGCATGATCACTATAATGTTGCCTTCAAATAGAGAGAGTGTGCTAAGAAAACTAGACGATGATATTAATACTTACATTATTTTCTGATAAACAAATCGCAGCTATTACTACAGTAGGGGAAAATGATTCTTATTCAAACTTTTGAAAATGCTTCTAAGTTTTATTAGAAACACAAAAACATATTATATATCGAAAAGCCCTAATGGCATTATGAAAATAAATATTTTGCTAGCAAAGAAACGTCAATTGTTTTAAATTTAACACATCGATGTATTAAAAGCCATTATGATGTAGAGCGCAAACAGGATTATATCAACCTCCTTGTAATTCAAAATGTTTTGTAGGGGAATAAGTGAAAACAGTACGCACGTGCGCTGCATAAAGATTATAGGTGTTTACTTGCCATGAAGTTTGTTTAGACGCGCTTTTATCAGTTACTGGTTTCTGCGAAGTTTTCTTGAAATAATTTATAAAAATATCGATATTTCGATTGTATACTGAAGTAGAATAAAAAACCTCGGTCATGTTTTATTACGAAGGACATAAGAGCCATGAGAGGACATCATAAAGCTGGTTTTAGGTCAAAGCTACTAAATTAACTTGAAAAATTTTTTAATAAACTCACTTTTCAATGCAATATTGCATTGAAAAGTGAGTTTATTAAAAATCTGCCAAATGACTGTGATGTTTATGATGTGAATGATTGTGAATAACATTCACATCATAAACATCACAGTCATTTGGCAGATTTAGAAACAAAACAGCAACAGCCTCATTCTCATAGGCATGGACACAAACAACAAATTAATTATAAAAATAATTCGTAGTAATCTTACAAAAAAAAGAATAAAATTCTTTTTTAGTTCCTGTTCTAATGCTTACCAAAACGTTTTTAATAAATATTCGTGAAGCAATTATATATGTTTGAAAGTTTTATAAATTTTTAGTAAGGATAATATGCATAGTATCAGTAGCTGACACAAAGAGCCGGTAACAAAAAAAAGAATATATTTACACAAATATAAATGTCTAATCATATGTACAAAAAAAGATTATCACATGTAAATTTTCATTTTGTGTTTTGGTCCGCTAATGACAACTAATAATAAAAAAATAAATAGAAATACGTAATCCTATGACTGGAATAGGGCCAATCGATTTTGAAATGTCATTTTTCGTCGTTGTTTATCGTCTTCTTCACGTTTTCGTTGTTCTTGTTCTTCACGAATCTCACGCTGATATTTATCACCGACTGCTGTTAGTGCAGCTGCTTTTGCTTCAAAAAAATTTTTTGCACCTCCAACACCTTCTTTAGACACATCAATTTCCATTAACATTGAATATAATTGGTGTAAAACCAATTCAACTGGTGTATCTTCCGATGCTGCTTTGCGAAAGATGAGAAGAAACTAGAAAAATGGACGGGAATAACGTCAAATTTCAAGAAGAAAGGGAGAAAAGCTTGACCTGTTTCGTGCAAAAACCATCAAATCTTACATAGAAATCGGTTGAGCTCAGGAGGAATGGTTGGTATAACCGCTGCAGAAAGATTACTTTTCCTTGTTGAAAGGGTATTTTGGGTAGTTCTGAATACTCTCTATTCCTTTCGAAGTTCAAAGCTTACCTCGCGAAAACAGATCATTCCGTCATGATCTTCATCCACTTCTTTAATCATTTCTTTCAACCCTGAAAAAGAAAAACAAATTTAAAACTCATGACCGTTCATATTCGTTTCTCTCTACGTACCCAGATGTGTTTGAGGTATACCCAATTTTTCCATCATATACTTAAGCTCATTAAAATTCAAGTGTTTATCTTTGTCTGTATCAAGTCTAAGACAAACAACAACATAAGTTGATACACTAAATTTCGTAACTAGAAAAGGAAATCTGTTGTGCCAACGAGAACGATGCATTTTTGTTTCTGCCAACCTCAAGAGTGTATTAACTCGAACAAAGAAGAGAAACGCATTCATTAGCTTACTTATCAAATGTTTGCATTAAACCTTGTATTTGTCTTCTTGAAAATTCTTTATATTCATTACATGGATTAAATATTTGTCTATCATCTGACATATCTAATGGTTGTGCGAGTGTTGGTTCTGCATCAGTTGATGGATCATTCTCATTTTCATCCACTGATTCAATTCGTTGAATTCGCTTTTGTAATTTTTTTACTAAATCAGCATCCATTTTATTTTTTAAATATTTAGTGATACCATTATTATTATGCGCACAAACAGTATATCGACCGTGGAAAATGAAGATATAATAATTATTTACTATTTGATTAGACAAGTTTTATGTCACACAAACACACAGCTCTTAGGATTATCAAAATGTGTATATAAAACAATGACGTATACGTAAGATCGCGTTATACACAACAAAAATGAAGAAGAAAAAAAAGAATTCTTTAGGCTATTATTGAGATCTAAAAACGAATAAAGAAGAGAGAAAAAAGATGATAATATATGTACAACAATTTATGTAATGACAATGTACACATAATCCAGTTCATTCTATTCTCGTATGATGAACACAACATACATTTGTCGGTCATTTAATTGTATAACTGGAACGCAGTAAAAAAAAAGCCTAGTGTCGTTATCTGAGAAAGGAATTACGATTTGTAAGCAGCATTCACTCACACATAATATATTGTAAATATAATAAATTGATGTTTTGAGTTACTAATCTAGTTTCTTTTTTTTTTGCCCATACTTATATATATATATACGTACAGCAAAGTACATATTGTTTCTCCTTGAATCTCAAGCATGATTGAAAAATAAAGCCTTGCTTCGTTAGCAGATCATGTAAGATATTTTTCACCTAGAATACCGTGATGGTAGATGCGAAGGCACTCGAACGCTCTTTGTCAAAAAATGTTTTCAAAATATTAAAATACTTCACTTTGAGATAGACTATTTTCAAGTTTATGAGATTCTTTCTAAAATATAAGCGCAAAGCATGTTAAAAGCTTTAAAACGAAATGTAATTAATGCCTAGTTTTGATACTCTTACAAAATATTGTAAAACACAAGACCGGATGTTGCGACAGAGTTTGATACCAAAACTGATTGACAGTATAAGATAAGGTCTATTATCCAAGCCACAGAATCTTGCTGTAAGATCTTATAAGATTCTTGTACGATTCCGTCTGATTTCGTACGATTCGTATAAGAATTTGTCAGATTCTGTAAGAAACATAGAAACGGATTCTTGTTGTAAGATCTTATAGTAAGATTTCATCAGATTTGGTAAGATTCTTGTATGATCTTTATACGATTTATAAGATAAATCCGTTTCTATGATTTTCCGTAAGATTTTATAAGATCGTGTGAGATCTTGATTTCTTGACCTGGATAGTTGTAGCTCGTGGTCATTTTAATTCATATTCGTGATTATCATCTATAATAAACTTTTAATGAGATGTTTTGATTCCACGCAGCGGCTGTCTGCAGGAAGTCTTAAGTGAGAATATTTGTGTATTTTACTGTATACATGTAGTAATCACGGGGGAATTTAGTCAAACTTTAGATTTGAATTTGGAAAGCCAATGGTATGTTTTGCGCAGGGAAACTCAAATACGTTTATGCACATATTTTGAGTTCCAACTCTGTCTGTCAATTCCGAAACTGGTCTCGACAAAATAGAATTCTAGTTTTAACTAACTAAACAAAGTTCAAGTCAAAGATGATATTTGAACCGACAAAATTGGAATTTGTCTAAACAGGTGATGTAATAAGGTGATAAAAGATATTTACAAAACTACTGATGCACTTAGTCAAGGATTTTATATGTTTCAACGGACTTATGATTTCAAAAAGCTTTCTTGAAATGAAGAAGAAGGATGGTGAGACGTGTAGGTCAAACTTAATCCGAGAGAGCAACGAGTACCACCGAATGGAACAAAAATTCTGAGTGTAGAAATGTATCATGTAGTTCTTCACTTTCTTGTCACATCTATGCCCTTTGAATGGTAAAAAGGCCGGTATTCAATGATTTTTAGACCGTTTCTTGATCTTAGGCTTGTTCAGTGGGATTCTATTTTGTCTAGATTATAAATATAATCTAAATAAAATGAGCTTCTCTTCTGCTTCTTTCACGAATACACATGCTTATAACAAGTTATATACAGATGGCCGCACAGGGATCATAACTCAATAGAAGATATACCCAAGAGGAAGACCATAGATCTATGGTACACTACTATCAAATTGACCTTCAACGAAATATATTCACCTTCTATCATAAAGATATCCCTGATATGATTTAAATCAGTTTGTGAAGTGTCTACTCTCAAAAAGAAACTTTATTTCGTATTTCGCCATATAAAAACTCAGACTGTTTACTCTTCCATATTAAAAAGGACGTTTGCACTAAAAGGTTTTTGATTAAAATAATAACTACCTGGAATTTCTTATTAACTGTAGTTTCTGATTAAAATTCTATATAACTCTGAATGACCAGCTAAAACCTGCTCTCTAAACACATAACAAAGACAATATTGTAATGTTTTTTGAAAGAAAAGAGGTTTCACATGTTTGCTGCTTTGAAAAACTATGCTTCAGAATAGAAAAAAGTGAACATGAAGAAATATACTGTGTTCCGAAGTTTATACACGTTCCTTTAAAAAGACCTGTTTTGCTATATATTTGCTGTGAATTCGTTTTTTCGCGTTTTAGAGCCATACGATAAGTTAGTATCAAAATCAAAAGTTAATGTTAATGTCTTATGAATACATACGATGTAGTGGTTATGTTAGTGACTTCTTAAAACTAGAAATGATTTGATGACTATATAATTTTTGATAACTTAATACACACGAGAAAAAGGTGTGTGAATATTTCTCTCTCGTTCTCAATGGGATAAATTAATGACTATGTCACATACTGTTAATAGACAAATAAACACACACGCATCTTATCTTGTCAATTACTGTGATTATTATGGTCTCAATTCTCAATTGTTTTCTGACAGTATTTGTTAAATGTAAATAAAATCAAACTGTGTAGAAGTTATACATGTTGCAGCAACAAATCAACGTGTGATAACATACGGAAGGTTGTCATGACTTAGTGACAAACAATATGATAAAAATCACAAAACACTACAGTCTTATTGTAAAATTATGCTCAAATTTGACCATCGCACAGTACAGTGGACAATCAGATGGACATTAGGTAAAAAAATGAAAATCGATTTTTCGATGATTCATATAGTTAGCAATATACTTCAAGACATGCTCTATCCGATGGAACAAAAAATTTTATTGCAAAGTTTTCGTTGCGTGAGAAAATAGCTAATCAAAAATTAGCTTGAAAATAGTAGTATCGGTTTTCGTAAGCGCTCTGTCCAATGGTGGGATTTACAAAGTTCAAAAACACTTTTGGTCGAGTTTTCCAGAGACCGGATCTCTAGAACACCTTGACAAAAACATCTTTGAACTTCTAAATCACACCATTGGAAAGAGTGCATACGAAAACCTATGAAAATAGCGTTTAGAGGCTTTCGTATCACTTTTATGGTACATGTCCACGTGCCTAGTCAAAATTGCCCACTATGCATCGTTCTTGACCTAACTACAGTGTTTTTAGTTGTATAGTATCAATAGATTCAGCATACAAACGAGGAACATGCGCGAGCAAACTGAAAAATTTTCAAGTTTTTTTCGGTCGAAAATATGCCAGAATGATGTGTGAAATATATTCTATTGCCCGTAGTTTTTTTGAAATTTTGATACCAGACTCTTGTGTTACCGCCAAGGTTTATAAAAAAGCTTTTTTCTCACATTTTCACACCCGCCCTTGATCTGTATGCAATTTTAAACGCTGATCATGAAATATTTTTCACAAAACTTATTGTGTTATATGCAGTCGAGTATGCTGATCATGAATAGTCCATTTAAAATTGAAGAAGATGTTGTTTTCACTGAGAAAACAAAATTTTAATGCATAGTCAGAGTTGGCTTACACTTTTAAGATTTATTTTTACCATGAATACAAAAACAAACAATTTAATAAATTCGAATAGTTTAAAATGTGTCAAAAACGAATATCAATATAACTCAACTTCAATCAATCAATCAATCAATCAATAGGTTTTTTATTTGAACACGAATGTGTCTAGGCTCTTACAAAAAAGGGAAACTTAAATGAATGTAACTCCTATGTAAGGAAAAGATTAAAAAAAAACCAAGAACTTAATCAACTGAATCCGAGCTAGTGCTCAAAACAGAAATAACTTGGGATGCGGAACAAACACTGACATTGTTCATACTTTGTTCACATTTATTTTCAGAAAATAGAAAAGCTTAACGACCACGGTTATCTTCTGGATCTTCCAACTTCAGTTTTTTCCCGTATTAGAGTGTCAAGCCATACGCGAAGCGCAAATCGCATAACAGCTTCGACTGCTTCAGTTAAAGATTGTTCAAAAAATTAGAGAGGGTCTTAATATCTAACACCTACACCTTTCAAAAGTAAATAAATGAAAAAAATTCGTGTTTTTGTTGTTTTATTAACTTACTATCAACTGTCATCTTTAACATAAGACAAGATCAGTTAAAAAAAGACAGTTTCTCAAGAGTTCTGATCGAATTTTTTCAGATATCACAAAAAAATGAATAAATAAAATAAATTTATTTATTGATATGACAAGGAATTTATATGTAATCAACTATGGCGTATTCGATGAACGTGAATATAACCTATAATATGAAATAAAAGGACAAAATTTAGAGAAATTTTGAACTTTGCACTCGTTAAACTGACAAATATCTTTTGAACATATGAGTATAGTCTACACTGTTAAAAAATTGTGTTCTTCAGTTTTTCAGAGAACTGAAAAGTCAACGGGAATTTTGTTCTTCATTTGTCCCAAATAGAGAACTTAAATTCTGTTCTTCAGCTCTCAAGAACTCTAAATTTGTTTTTCAATTTTTCAAAGAACTAAAAAAATCATTTTTTAAAAACTGAAGAACAAATTTAGAGTTCTTGAGAGCTGAAGAACAGAATTTAAGTTCTCTATTTGGGACAAATGAAGAACAGAATTCCCGTTGACTTTTCAGTTCTCTGAAAAACTGAAGAACACAGTTTTTTAACAGTGTACATTACGACTGAGAACCACATCGAAAGGATTCTAATTTTACAGATATCGGTACTAAAATATTGACTGTACTTGAGCGAGCACAAAATTTTCTGAAAGAAGACAAATATGGCCAACAATTTTTGCTCCAATACTTGAATTCTTTGGCAAGACTCGGTATCATCCATAATTATAGCTAAAGTAAACCATATTTGACTTGTAACTCATTTAAATACATAACTTACTCGTTACGAATCACATATTTGGGATATAAGAAAACGGTGTAATCAATTGTCTAGAAAGAGCGCCATTTGAGAAAATTGCTGAAGGAGGTTACCAGTTCGTAGACAGAACTGGTTTTTTTTCGATGAAAACTCAATGTGTCGGAGTTTTTCACGGAGATTCAACCGCTTAGTTTCCCCAAGTTTTAATATGAGATTTTCTACGCCTGTAGTGCCCTCCTTTCCAGTGGAAACACTCCTCTCGAAAATACACTCCTCTCTTTCTCGAAAAATCAAATGGACTAGATGTAACTCTTAAAGCTGGTCACGATTATCACGTTTCAGCCCCCACCCCCCGTCAAAAACCTATTTTTGTCCCAGAACATCCGATCTTAATGAAATTTTCATAGAATATGTACCTGGTCTTAGACAGTTGACAAGCAGCATTTGAGCTCGAAATATTGAGTTTTCCAAGAGTTATCCTAACACCAAGGGTCAAAACGTAGGCGTCTGTGTGTAAAAGCTTTCTCCCCCAATTCTAATGATACAGATTTCGAGTTCGTGTTAAAATGAAACCAAGGCTGACCGCTACAAGTTAACAGAGTCGAATTTTTGAAATTTGTTTTGTTTATTTCTTCCGAAAATTTTCTTTTAAAAGGTTGGAAAAAGTTATGGAAATTTTCGGAAAAAACTTTATTTTTCTCAAAAATTAAACTGAAAATAAAAAATACGGCTCTGTTAAGTTGTAGCGCAATCAATTTTCAATATCAAAAAAATCAATTTTTTGCATTTTGAGTGTTCCAGGAAAACCTCTATAAAACCCTCAAAAACCACGGTAAAATCAATAAGTCATAGTGCATTCAAAAGTAGACGCTTTGCGCTATCCAACTATGTATAAATCTCAGGATTGGTATTGTTGATGAAAATCGGCTTTTTGACAGGAGGAGACCTTAAAATCGAAAAAGATACCGTTTACGCTAACTACGAAAACGTAGTTGTACTAAAGAGATGAACCTCACGTACGTCCTGCAGATTCTTCCCTATAATCGATAGAAAAAAACGTTTCAGTGCTTGACAAGGAACGAAAATATGCAGAAATGTTTGTTCTTTCATAATACGCTGTATAAAATGTGCAAACTTGAATGGACAAAAATTTCGAAATAGAAGTCAAAGTACGGAAACTTTTGAATTTAACTTTTGAATATTTCTTTTGGGATCTAATGAATGCTTAAAACAATGTGAATTTTATACCTAAAAAATAAGCAAGAAAAAGAGTATTTTTACAGATTCCCATGTTAAACTTAATTTTTAATCGAAATAAATATTAGTTTTCATTTAAATTGTAAAGGATCAGAAAGAGATCTAAAGTAGAAACATGACTTTTAATGTCCTGTATTATTTAGCGAATAGTCATGTTACACCATCATATCGTGTTGTTTAAACAGATATCAAATTGTGTTTCTATCTTGAACTGTAATAAATATAGTTCGAGCATACGATTTTAGTTATATTGCCGCTGTGATGATGAGAAAAATTTAGATTAATTGCCGACAAAAAGAAGTGGTGCACACATGCCTGACGTTGTTATTAGTTCATTGAAACTAATTTACACATTGATCTACATGGATCAATTTTCAAATAGACAGAGAGAGAAAAGTTCACTGTATTATAATGTTAGAAAAAAAACAACAACTGGTTTTGATTCTTCTTCTTTCTATACAGTAGCCTTAGGAATGAAAAGAAAAATAGATATTAAAATAAATGTTAGACGGATCACACATCTTTTTGATTTTGATACTACTTGACTGCGATTGATTAACAATGTGGTACACACACACACACATTATTTCTATAAATAGATAAAGAAGAGAACTAAGTTTTGAATGTCCTATAATTATTTCACAGTCTTCGTTCGTATAATTGATTTGCATAAGATATACATATACCCAAAGATCATCTCCGATTTATAATTATATTTTCTTTCAACATCTTGAACGCGAACGTTAGTTAATCAAAATATTATTTGGTACGAAGTGTCTTCATATTATAACTTTGAGTGAAACATGTACACACTACTATGATGTAAGTAAACGATATATTAGTATGGTTTTTTTTGTTTTTTTGCTTATTAGTTTGAAACTCAGTTTTTAGTTATAAAAATTTGAGATTAGAAATAATTATCTTATTCAATAAATTCAATGTTCCAACTAAATTATTACAAGTAAATATGTTGAAAAATATTAATTATTACCGCAATTCCGTTTCATTGCAGTATCTTGAAGTTGATGATGTGGAATACTTTGGAGGAAGAAAAAAAAAACAAAATTGATACTATTTTTTATTTAGAGTTTATTAAATGTTGATTAATCTATAGAATATTGAATATACAATCATTTCAATTATTCGTCATGCGTTTCTATTTAAAATCTATTCATTATTTGTTATTGAAATTTTTACTAAATGGATTGTTCTTATTCATCGATAAAAATGATTGTCAACAATTTGAATCATTATCAATAAATAATAATTCCCAATCTCGTGTATTATTTACAGCTATTTGTCAATCTACGCCTACACAATATTTCGTATCAAGTAAGTTCTGAAATTCTGGAAAAAGAAAATATAATAAACTTTGTTCGATACTACTATAAAGATAATATTAAAAAGTCGTACTATTAGAGCAAATTTCGAAGAAACTTTTTTTTAGTTGAAATTATTGACACCTGTTGATATCTTTTATCGTTTTTCAGATGAGTAAGGTAGCACATAACAGTATCGATGAGAGAGAGAGAGAGAGAGAGGAAGAGAGATGTGCTCTAGAACAGTTTAGATATATTCATTTCTAAATAAAGATTAATAGATATCAATGGAAAGCTATTATTTCCAATTTTACTTACATAATGAGCTTTTGAGTAAATATTCTTTCATAAAACATGTCTTAAGGATTTAAAACAAGTTTTTATTTTCGAAAAATAATTTCTGATTAGCATGATTAGAAAAAAATATGCTTTTTTAAATGCTTTGCTTAATATAGAAAATTATCTCACTCGTACATATGTCGAGCTAGTGAATATGTCTTACAGTCTCTCGTTGGTTCATTCATCGATGTCAATTTTCTCTAACACATAATGATATTTTTTCTCTAAATGATAACATATTTATTAAATGAGAATGAGAAAAGAACCTCTCCACCACAGTAATAGTTGTTATTTTCTTCTTTTTTTTTTTACATCGACAAAATTAGAATAATCAAAACAAAAAAAATGAGAAAAAAAAAGAAAACGTTTTGGAAACCAAAAACATGTCTCCTTTCTCTCTGTCTCACTCTCTCTCTTTCTTTTTCTCTTATATATGCACAAATCATGATAATGTGTTCGTTTTATTCTCTTATATCCTGACACTATATTATCACACACGATAAGAAGAAAAGAATGCTCTTTTTTTGTCTTAACATAAAAACATTTGATATTCTATGCACATACGCTCTGTTTTTTTCCTCCTCATTATCTCTATAGACAATCATCATCCTATAATAGTTTCTTCTTTTTTTTTTTTTTTTTTGAAAAATATTTTTCTTTTTCTGTTTTTTTCTATTACAAAATATACTTTATAAATATTTATTGAATAATAATAATAATAATAATAACAACAACAACAACTACTTCACTCTTTTCCCTTTCTTTAGACGAACGATCCATATTCTATTTTCACTTTTCAACAGTAACACAAAAGTCGGATGATAATAATAATTTCGGAAAAAACACAAATAAATCATATTTAACTTATTGTACTCAAGAGAAAGACTTTTCTCAAGTATTTCCATCATTTTCGTTGTCATCTTCTCATGGACAAATTCTATTCAGTTATCCAAATGTTCAATTATTTCAATCGTTAATAAAACCAACAATAAACAATGATAGAACAATAGAATTGACTACTTTTAATATGACATTGAACGATAAAAATGAATTATCCTCGGCAACATCCTTAACTAAAATAGTTGCCACCACTATTGCTACATCATTTTTTACAAATCAAACAGTTTTAAACTCAATTCAACGTGCAAATATTGGTCTTATTATTGGAATAGTTAGTGTTTGTGTTCTTTTACTATGTCTATTTATTTATGCTATATGTAAATATCGTAATCGAGATGAAGGTTCATATAAAATAGATGAAAGTAAAAACTTTGGAACATATTTAGTGGTAAATGGAGAAAATGATGAAAACAAATCAAATGGACATAAACATAAACAGACATCAAATGATAAAACGAAAACTGTTGAAACACGAGAATGGTATGTTTAAAAACATTTTTTTGTTTACTATTTATCAAAAAATAGTCTAAAATTCAATTGATTTTCTTTCTAAATATTGTTAATTTAAAATATGTTTCAATTCTTTCATACACTTTTTACTATCGGAGAGAATGACTTTATTTCTAAGAATGTACATCTCAATATTAATCAGATGTGTCTTGTAAAGTGTAGAATAAACTTCTGAGACCGTTGTGTCAAATTCAGTATGAATTCAAAAACATAAAGAATAATGTCATCGATAACTGAACGAGAGATACGCATCATATTCCAGCAGGTTCATTTGTACACAGTTGAGATGACCAAAATATTTTAGAAGCAAGTGTACACGTAACAGTTTTATTCAGGCATGTATCGGCTTCGATTTTTAAGCGATTAACCAAAGCTGATCCTAATCGATGAACGGATATAACAAAAAGCTTTTTTATTTGCTCATGTTCTTGAAAATCTATTCGAAGTAGTATGAAGGAAACATCTAGGAATGTTTATTCTAGAGAAGAAAATGTTCATCGTTGTTGTACGATAGTCATCTTTTGTACTTGACATTTTTTCATAAAGAAAAGTTATTTCAAATAATGTGAAATTTTCACAATAGAAAAAATTAGAAATCTTCAAAATAACTTATTTTCCTTAAAAAAATTTTTTTCATGAGAAATATTAAGTGCAAAAAATGATCATTATACAACAAGGATGAATATTTTCTTCTCTAAAATAAACATTTTCAGATGTTTCCTTCATACTACTTCAAATTGGTTTTCAAGAACATGTGTAAATAAAAAAGTTCTTTTTTTTGTTATTGATTATGATCGGTTATCGATTAACCGAAACTGTTGCATGTCTAGTTTTATTCATTCTCCTTCTATTGAGAGCAAGTAACGAGTTATCGATCATAAATATTTGAATATTCAATGTAAAATTGAATAAAATTTTATAAAATATATTTCTGACGATTATTTCTCTACTTTTAAATTGCTTACGTTATTAAAACTTATTTATTTTGCCTTAGAAATCGTCTGCTAGGATGTGTGTACATAGTTACTTTTTCTGTTCTGTTTTTGATCGATGTTGATTTTTTTTTCTTTAAGACTTTAGATATAGTTTGTGTGTGTTTGTATGTGTGTGACGGTTCTTCAACGGCTCTAGGAGCTAGATCAAATATTTTTTGTTTTTCTTTCTGTAATATATTTTTTCATGTAATTTGGATAGATTTGATCGATAGAATTGATTTAATCAGAAAACGTTTTGCTAATATTTTTAATAGTTTCTCTCTAATACTACTTTTCCTAATTTTCTCTTTTAAAAAAAATTAATCGGATTAGTTTGTTACGATTGAAAAATAATAATAAAAATATTCTGCTATGAACAAATCAAGACGGTATATTTATTCTCTAAAATAAATCACGACTTTCCAGCGAAAACGAACGTCCATTCTAAGTTTTCATTCTCTCAATAACGAAACATAATATTTTGACTACGCCGATACATAGTATGACGTATGCCTTTCATTTGAGGTAAGTTCTCAGTCTTTTTTCAACTTTCTTCATAGATTCTTCAACAACTTTTCAGATATATTCGTTTTTAGAATAATCAAAACTATCTCTACCATTCTTTTTTCTTGTTTATTTATTCATTGAGCGACTAGATGAAGAAATTGTGACGATTGCATTTAAAAGAGCAAATCTTTGGCAACATTTTAAACAAAGTGTTTAAAAATAATGGAGTCTACTATTTAAATATTATTTTTAAAGTTCTACTCATTGAAAGTGGAAAAAATGAATATTTTCCATCTAAAATTGAGCAAATAGGAAAACTTAATGCAGTGTGATAAAAAAAGATAAGAAAAGTACTACACAAAATATCATGTTTTCTATAGGACTTCGATCGTTACCGTGTGATATTACCTGAGAAATATATTTAAACGAGTTAAAATCGTATTCGTTTCTACTAAAACTTTAACTTTGTTCATTGAACATTGAAGTCCATTGTTGAGAAGATAATATCACTCGATAACGATCGAAGTCCTATAGAAAACATGGTACCCCCCGCCCCCCCCATAATAGAAGTCTCCCCCGTATTAGAAACCCCTCCGTATTAAAAGCCCCCTCTGGAGGAATCGATGTGGAAGGTGTATTAGAAGTCCAAGGGCTTCTGTTACGTCGGAAAAATAATTTGAATTTTTTAAACGACACATTTGATCGACACGCGTTTTTTTTACTTCAGTTGTTCTTGTGTGATGTCGAGTGTAAGAAAAGGAAACGAATAAAATTTACATTTTTTATCTCGAAAAAGATTTTTTTCAGATTAATTGAGATTACCGTGATTAGAAAGGCAAGAGCATCGAAATTCAAAATCTCCTTTTTTACTGAAAATTTTTGTACGAAAGTCGTAATAGTAGCCCCCCCCATAATACAAGCCCTCCCTAAAAATTTTGAACGCTTGGACAGTTTAGAAGCGTTCAAAATTTTTAGGGAGGGCTTAGAAG